ATTTAAAGTTGCTTTACAGCAGCCTTTTGGCTTCTAGTCTTTAGTTTTAAAAAATCTTATTGGTGGTTATTATTATTATTATAATTTTTTTATGTTTTTCAAAATGTAAAAAATTGTAGCCTAAGTAAGAATGTAGTACAGTGTATCAGGCATGCTATACAGCAGACATTTTGTAAAGCATTACTTATAACAAGTATGTTAACACACATGCATTATAACATTAACATCATCTTCTCATAATCATAACTGCAGTGTACTGTGACTTCTCATTTAAGAGTAAACAACTTACATGTGAAGCTTCACACAGTACCTCGCACAAACCTTAAGGGCACATGAGTGTGTATTTGGAACATTAACATAAAAAGAAAAACTATAGATAAACGTCATGTCTTTTACTCCAAAATTTGCTGTAAATTTAGCAAAAAAATGCCAAATCTTGAGTCCATTTTTGTTAACTTTGTGACAGAAGTGTTAACACTTATTTGTGTCAGACCCTGTGCTGAAGACCATAGGGCTCTAGTGAGGGTGTCTATTGTTTCAGTGGTCCTGTATTTACCTAGAACAACCACAAGAGGGTGGCAGGCACACATTTAAAACGTGTTTCTCTCAGTCTGGGTTTCTGGAGACCCACAAATAGTCACAGCCCATCACAAACTCAAATGGATCAGCAGGATTTGCTCCTACTGTATTTATGCTTACCAAACACCATAAGAACACCTAATATCCTACTCCACTTGTGAATTGCCCTAAGTCAATATAATATTTAAGACTGAGAAGAAAAACCAAGTCAGTTGATGGTATCAGTACCTGCTACGAAACACTGGAGCAACTTTTTTACATGGGTTGGTGACCTGAAGGACGTCTTGCCTGGTTCTAACTCCGCTCAGCTACAGCAAACAGCGCCACTTGCAATGTGAGCATACAAAGTAACTAACCACTGGTTAGATAAACATGTCTAGATCTGTGTTGGCTGCTGGTCTAATTTCTGTGTGGATAGTCACATTCTCTAAAGCTTGATGCTTAATGTTCAGTAAAGCAGGGATTATTTTCAAAAGCCTGTACTGAATAAGCAAAGTGATGGGTTCTAAGTGGTACACTTTGTCTCATTTTAATCTCAGCATTCCATATTTGTTTTCAGGTTGTGCAACACTTTTCTAATTACACAAATGTGCTTAAAAGCAGGGGTGCACCTGTGAAAGCATTTGACCAGAGACTGGTATATAAGATATTTAAGAATATCAAACCCTCCTAGCTGAGAAGAGTCCTTTGTTGATAAAATGTCTTTCCAGTTGCTAACTTGTTTGCTAACAAACAAAGAAAAAGCATTTGAAAGAGTATACCCTCATGCATCTCTTGCTGACGATCGCAAGGCTCCACTCTGCTCACAGGGTTTCTGTGCATGAAAGCTAACCACAGATCAGGAGCTACTGATCATAGCAAAACATGTCCTAGAGATGTTACAGCCTGAACCTATTGCATATACAGTAGACACTAGACACAGTGATCATTTTCTCTAGGCTCCTTTTTGTGATTTATTTTAAAATGTCTAGTAGTGACATGCAACAACATTTTAGAAGGGTCTTACTAGTTTGTGGTTGACATGCTATCATATACTGATCATGGAGTTCAACCAGCACTTCTCTAAAACAAACTGAAGTGGCCACCTTTATGAACAAGGATTTATTACACGTCACTTGATTTAGACTTAGTTTTAGCTAGCTGTACCTCAAACTGACAGCTGGATGTACTTTTATATAATCAGTAAAATAGTTTTTATATGTACAACTTTCTTGTCATTAGGTCTCTTTGTTAGGATATTCTACATTTTCTGTTGTCGAATTGTTGACAAGGGTTTTTATTCATTTGTCTACTTTTGTATATTTCTTATTTTTGTGTGCACCTATATTGGGTTGCAGTTTATACTAAAATTACTTTTGAATTGCTCTGATGGTTTCTCTGTGGGAACCCCACTCTTTACTAGGGCTCCATGGTATATGAGCTGCATTGTTACATATATCTTGAATTCTGTAAAATTGTATTTACTGCAACACATCTTGCATTTCTGTGTGCCCTGGAAGCTTGATGTGATTTGTTTTAACCTCTGAAGAAGGCATGCTAGTGCCAAAACATCACCTCAGGAATTCAAGTCTGCTCTGTTTCTTTGCCTGTTCGCTAGATACAATTGGTAGTTACAGAATTTGGGTAAAGTCCTACTTTAGATTTGCTTTTTAGAGAGTTGAATGTGGAAACTGTCACTGAAACTAGCTAACGACATTAACGATGTCTGAGCTCCAATAGGGTGACCAACTAAACAGCACCACTCAAAGCATAAAACCATCATCCTGGAAATGGCTCACAGTGTAGCCATCACGAGTGTTATCAATTACATTTGTGCTTTTAAAAATGTCTGCTGTGTCAAAGGTCTACTGGTCAACAAACTCCTTTTAATCTTGTTACAGGTGTTGACAACTGTCCCGTTAGCAACAAGAAGGGAAGTTATAACGATCAAGTATCAACAACAAAATAAATGTATCTTAAAACATGCAATAAAATATTAAAAAAAAAAAATGGACACATGAGGAATTTGACTCTGGTACATATCCCCATGCAAGGGGCAAGTAAACCAGCATAAGGCTGTGTAATATAACAAAATAAGCAGTATAAACAGGCAGTAAACAATGCAGATAGACAAAGGAATGCTCATTAAAATTAGATAAATAGGAATAAAAATTACTTAAAAATAGAAACCTGTATGAATCTGTATAATCTAAAGAACATATATTTACAGGTATTGCACTGAGGGTTATTGTCCAGTCAAGCAAATACAAGCAATAACTAGACACCTACCCTGTGACAAATACACAGAACGTTGCACATACTGTGGTCCATTCTGATTAGTGAAACCTCTTTGAGTTAGTCAAGTTGAGTTGAGTCTTAAGTTTTCAGTTCCAGAAACAGACATGAATTTAACGGAGTCACTTACTGTGGTAAAGTGCTCTAGGAACCTGCATCCTTCGACAAACCC